GGTGAAGACATCAAGCTGCAAACAGATTATAGTAGTAAATAAATATTTCAAGTTGATTTGCAACTTGTATTGTCATGGTAACGGCACAAAATTGCAAGTTTGAGAAAGATGACGCATATTAGTAATTAATGTGTAGGACAAAGATAGCTACACATTTGCGCTGCACCATCTATTTGTCACCRTGACTTGAAATCGGGCTCTCAGTGTGTAAAGTCATGTTGATTAAAASTATTAAAATACAAAGTAAAAACAAAACAATTCGATCAGAGAGTTTGATGGCTATGTAATGCTATCGTTCAAATTCATTATTTGGTTTGCTTCTCACATCGTTCAACTTTTTTTTGAAACATTTGCCATGCTTCTTGGTCATCGTTATGTAAGCGATTCATTTAATTTATTACATTTTATTTTCACAAGAAATTATCCATAAACAGTGTGTGCTAAAACACACTGCCCCTGTTTAGGTAAAACTGTGATAAGCCTCAGGATTCAAACATATGTGTTGTATATGGAGGTGATCAATTTAATGATATTAAATATGTATACATATTTAATTAATTGTCGAAAAAAAAAATACTTCTAATAAAAGCGATCTAGTGCAATATGCGAGGCAATATGAGACCTACGTACTATAAAAAGTCTACATAAAATGAATGAAAATCTAGATATCMACGTAGGTTCAAGAGAAAAAACAGCAATTATTTTAGAATTTAATAATAATAATAATATAGAGAAAGCTATTAGAAGAAATAATCATATGATGAGGACAAACAAAGTATGGAAAAAACAGTTAAATTTATAAATGAATCAGGATTTTATATCCTTTAATTTTATCATCCAAGAAAGAAACAAAAAAAAATTTTACCAAGATCAGAGGTATTTCCCAGAATAAAAAAGCATGGCAAATATAAAAGAATTGAATTGGAGCAATTGTAAAACGATAATTTGAAAGTGAGAGATTTAGTATAAATGGAATCGGTATATAAACCGTAGTACATATAATTATTTTGAAGTAGCTATAATCYAGAAAGACAAATATTGTTACCCAATAATAAAAAAATAAATTAAATGATTGACATTCTTMTATTATACTAAGATGTGAAGGCGTTCTTCGTTTGATGATGCAGACGCTTAAGAAAGATAAAAAACGAAATTTGAATACATTCCCTACCCGATAGACTGAGTTATTTTGGTCGAAAATAAATGCCCGAAATTACATTTTAAAAATAAAATCTTAATGGATGCCATGACTTTGCGTTAATATTAATCACAAATAACTTGTTCGGCTCATAAGTGGACTACGTCCACCAATTTTATGGAATTTATTGAAGGATAAAAAGCGCAGTTTTTTAGAGTTCTTAAAAGATAACGAAATTACTTATAAAGAAATAGATTATAAACATGGAAAAGGAAATTTATATGAATATAGTATACAAAATGATTAAAATTTTTAAAGAATTAATAATGATGTTGAATAACAATAAGGCAAAAAAAGCTGGGAAATATTATTTTAAATTAGAAGAATTGCTAGATAAATAGGAAAATTACATTAACGAATATAATCTTTTAAAGCAAAACATAATTATAAAATTAATGCTAATCCATTAAACCTGTTTGACTTTATAAATAAAAATAACTACTCCTATAAAATTAATTTGAGTACGTGGTTGACCGATCTATGGTTTACGTTATTTAAAAGAAAAATATAATACATAATAACAAATGATCTTTTATGCTTTATACAATATAGAATTTCTGTGGGGGGTGGCTATCCCCCACTGAATTTACGCGATATTAAGAAAGACTTAAAGAAAATTTTAAAAAACTATAAAACAGAATACCAAATAATAAATTATGATAAGATTAAAAATGAATTATCATATTATAAAAAATTGATAACAAAAGATATTATAAATGTTTCGCCAGATAATTTAAATAAAACATTATGGATTTTATTGAGTGGTGTTTGTAATTTTAAATCCCTAATAATAACATTAAATACAAAAACGGATCAAGAAATTAAAGAATATTATATTACTTTGGAAGAAATATTTTATTCATATTTGGAATACACTAAAAAGTTTTATTTGAATATAGGAGAATCACTTGAAAAGATAGTCAGATAAAGCAAATTGAAACGATAATTGAAATTAAGAAAGATGGTTAAAAATATTATCAAGTTAACCAAAGACCATTTAATAGTATAATAGTTTTATAGCAAAGATTCGGTAATAAACAATATAACAACAATTGTRGTAAAGACATGTTTCCATTATAATTTAATCGATGATGACAATGTAAACAGATAACTCATCTTTGATAACCTAAGCACAACAAATTGTCCTTAAAAAAATTGAATATATCGTAGGTATGCCTTTCTTCCGATAAATGAGATTATTCACTTACTTCCAAGTATAAAAAATAGCTGCAGTCAAATACCTATTGTGATTTGGACAACCTTTCTGGATTATGATACTAGCAAACTAAGAATAGTCAGCAGYTTTAAGCAGATATTTTCTCTGCGATATTTAAAAACCTTTACAAAAACACAAATTCAGATAAGCAATTGCCTACCTGTACCTAATTTTAGGTTAAGTACAACACGTGTTACAACTTCCAGTGATAACAGTATAATAAATATAATTATTCTAGTTATTAATTACTACCATGTTTTGGACATTGCGAAAACAATGTTTTTCTTTTATGACACTGAAAAACGATTACAACAATAGACTTAAAAACCACGTTCGTGGGTCAGTCAGGATTCAGTTATTTGATTTACTTTAATTTTCGACACAACCGTTGAAAATGAACAGAATGTCAGACGAATTACATTTTACTTATAACATTTAATAAATATCAAGACATTGACTTACCTGTTAAAAACGATTGGACATCTAATAAATCACAAACGCCTTCTATGCAAACGCCACCGACAAGTAAAAAGGGAAACTGAATTATCGACCGAAACAGCGCCGCGCGCGATCCTGGTCTAGATGGCGCCATCCATATTATCGTTTTGCATTAAATTTTATTATAAAAATATGTAAGCTTTTTAATAGTATCACAATCACAAAATTAAAAAAAACTCAAATTTAGTAAGTTGTGTTACAAAAACAAATTATAACTACGTAACAATAATGACATTGTTGATTGCCTATCACGTTTTTTTAAACGAGTAGGCCGATGTGTCAGCGTATTTTTGAAGGATACCAACGTTCGACCGTCTTCTGTTTAATAAAAACGCTCAAAAGTCAAAATGTCAAAATTCGTTATTAAATCTAAGCGCTTAAAAAATAAATTTGGATACACCATAATTAAATTCGGACAAAGTCCTCATGAGCGTCCACAAAGTCATTTTTTTAATCAATAAGAAAATTAGCATAGAAAATATAATACAGAGTGGTTATAAATGATTTTCATCTAGCCAGCTGTGAATTTTCCATGTAAAATAAAAAATGCCGCTTTACGAAAATAGGGGTACCTACTTGTTGTAACTCAAAATTAAAAAATCGCCGTTTACTAAGCGTCCACTTCGAAAATAGACTTCAATTATAAACTTGTTTTCTTCCAAATATACATTATTATCAATTATTATTGGAAATTAGTTGAAACAATAAAAATTTAATTAACAACAATTTATTATTAATTAATAAGTGACACTAATGACAGAACTAGAGCTTTCAAAAAAGTAGAGCAGCACAAATAAAGTTACATGCAAAAAAGTTACAAAGCTGGCTAGATGAAAATCATTTATAACCACTCTGTATATTCAATCCGAAAACGACTGTATAAGATCCAAGGCGTGTTGGTAAGATATTCGCGATCAATCCAAGGGGTCTAATAATAATACTAATAAAAATTAATGCTTTTAGGTCTTTTTCGGATGTTTACCTTTGGGAGAACAGCTGAATTTCTAAGATTCTGCCTTGTTTTTTAAGACGCCAAATGTCSTGGCCCAGAAGTAAAAAGCCATTTTGGGGTGTTCAAAAACAAGACATTTTGTTAGTTTTTTAGAGCGTTCTTGAGGTAATTTTCCATTATTTTGGGAGATTTTAACGGTTTTTTCGTGTGCCCAATTTTTGGTGGTCTACACATATTTRGGAACTTTTGAGGTGGATAAAAATTAATGATTTTTGAGAGGTTTTGGGCCCTTTTCGGTTGTGTGCTAAATTTGTAAGATTTTGCCTTGTTTTTTAAGACGCCAAATGTCCTGGCCCTGACTTGGTTATCCAATAATCGCTTTTTTTTTATTTAAACACAAACCAGATCCGTGATTTATGACAAAATGGTATAATTTGCCAACAAAAGAATCATTTATTGGTAGCCGACCGCTTTAAAGGGTCTTTTTGTTGTAAACCTTGGACTCTTACCCCAATTGCAGTTCTCCATTGTCACCTAAATTTACGATGGCACAAGTTGCAGGTCTTAAATAAAAATGATTTTCAAAGTTAAGATGGAAAATTCCATTTTATTCAAAATCTAATTGGTATTTTTTTTTCTCTGATTTTGTAAACAATTGTAGGAAGTGAATCTGCGTAGGTCAGTATAAAAATTAGAATTAAACTTTTTGGGAGAAAATTACTTTTAATTTTTTTTTGACTTTGTAAATGATAAATTACCAAAAAATTAGAGAATGTTCCAGGTAAGTGTGAAAAAAATCAACAATTTTATTTAATTTCTTTTCTGCGCGTAACCGATGCCCCTCCCGGTATATGTTTTTTTACAATTATTCAGTAAAGGTACAAAAATTTTGTCAATAAAAGCCACAAATAACATTAAACAGAGTTACAGGTTAAAATACAGCTTCCTTGTTTCCGCTTCTAATAGCGTGTAACAAAAAAACTTGGAAAATTATTTTTCCAACAGGAATAAATAGAGTCTAAACTCTCATAACTTTGAAATTTTTATAGATAGATTTTTTCCATGTTCCTGGTTTTGGCGCACTCTGTATGTGCATATGATGAAGAACGTTACACCTTCAACTTTTAAAATCGCGATATTTCAGGAATGGTGATTCTTAGAAAAAAAGTATAAAGACCATTTTTGTAGACAATTTCAAGATCGATAATTTTTGTCTGGGCTACTTTTTTGATAAAACTTAGCGTTTTCGAAAAAAATCTAAAAAACCTCAAATTTTGACTTTTGACTCCGAATAACTTTTTTAGCACACATGGGATCGATGGGGACTTTTGACTCTTTATTCCTAATGGTGTACCCAAGAGCTCCACCTTTAGCTCTGTCGGAATTTTAGTTATTTGAAATGTCTATTTTGACCGGACTATTTAGTGAGAATTTGTTCAAAACCATGGCGGACAAAATGGCCGAGGAGGGGTACCTGGGGGCCGGCTACGACCACCTCATCATCGACGACTGCTGGATGGGGGAGCACCGGGACGCGCAGGGCCGGCTCCAGCCCAACTCGACGCGGTTCCCCAGCGGGATCAAGGCCCTCTCCGACTATGTAAAAATTTCCCCAAAAAATCGACAAAATCCCCCAAAATTTAACCTAGGTGCACAGTAAGGGCCTCAAATTCGGGATTTACTCCGATTATGGTACCAAAACCTGTGCCGGGTACCCAGGAAGTCACGGCCACCTTGAAACCGACGCCCAAACCTTCGCCGACTGGGGCGTCGATTACCTCAAACTCGACGGCTGTTACGCCGATTTGGACGACCTTGAACCTGGGTACATCCAGATGGGCAAATACTTGAACCAAACCGGACGACCCATCGTCTACTCCTGCAGCTGGCCCGCCTACCAGGAACCCAAAGGGATCAAAGTATGCAACCAGTCATACACGGTTTTATGCAACCAAACATACACGTCACTTTTTCAGCCAAATTACACCGCTTTACGGGACACGTGTAATCTGTGGCGTAATTGGGACGACATCGACGACACGTGGTCCAACGTCACCAACATTCTGAAGTGGTTTAGTGAGAATCAGGACCGGATTGCGGAATTTTCGGGCCCGGGCCACTGGAACGACCCTGATATGCTCATAATCGGCAATTTCGGGCTGAGTTACGAGCAGAGTAAGGCCCAAATGGCGCTGTGGGCCATCATGGCAGCCCCCTTGATCATGTCGGTGGATTTGAGGACGATTGAGCCGAAATTTCGCGATATTTTACTAAATCGAGAAGTAATAAAAATCAATCAAGATGCTTTAGGGATCCAAGGACGCTTGATTACGACTGTATTTTGTCATTTTAATTGTGATTTAAGTTAATTGAGTGCTTCTAGATCAAAAAGATTGATGTTTGGACCAAACCGATTTTGCCCAATGAGGGGGCCCCCTCGTACGCTGTGGGGTTTTTGAGTAACCGTGTCGACGGCTACCCCTACAGGCTTAACGTGACTTTAGCCCAATTGGGTATAAATCAGGCCGAAAAGTACAAAATTCAGGTAATTACGTATTGTTGGTTGCCTATTCACTACACCAAATTTACATTTTTTGTATAATTCATAAAGATAACTTTAAAAGCACAATTTATCTAATTATCAAGCTTCAATTGGGCATAAATTACGCTAAAAATTACCAAATTTAACTAGTTGGTGTATTGTTGGTTGCAGGGCCAAAAACACTAAAATTTGCTATTTTTTTGCATAATTTATTAAATAAGACTGAAAAAACATCGTTCGTCAAACGAAAATGTCAAACGTGTGATTTTGAACATAAATCAGACCAAAAATAACAAATTCTGGTAATTGGTGTATTGTTGGTTGCCTTTATAATATACCAAAATTTGCATTTTTTTTTGTATAATTTATAAAAATAATTTTAAAACCACAACTTATCTAATAATCAAGCCTCAATTGGGCATAGATTAAGTCAAAAATTACCAAAATTAAGTAGTTGGTGTATTGTTAGTTGCCGGGCCAAATACTCCAAAATTCGAATTTTTTTTGCATACTTTATGAAATAGGACTGAAAAAACATTGTTCGTCTGATAAACAGTGTCAAAAATGTCAAACGTGTGATTTTGAATATAAATCAGACCAAAAATAACAAATTCCGGTAATTGATGTATTGTTAGTTGCCTATCCAATATAACAAAATTTGCATTTTCTACATAATTGATGAAAATAACACTGAAAAGACCACTTTATCTAATAATTAATTAGTGTCAAAAATGCCTCATTTGTGACTTTGGCCCAATAGAGAATAAATCAAGCCAAAAATTACAAAAGTGAAGTAATGGCGTGTTATTGGTTGCCTATTCAACACAACAAAATTTACGTGTTTTTTATAATTAAAAAAATAACTCAAAAAGCACAATTTATGTAATAATCGGGCATCAATTGGGTATAAATTAGGCCACAAAGTACCAAATTTAGGTAGTTAATGTATTGTTGGTTGCCTAGCCAAATACACCAAAATTTGCAATTTTTCACATAATTAATAAAAATAACACTGGAACACATAATTCCTCTGATAAATAGTGTCACAAATGTCAAATGTGTAATTTTGGGCATAAATCAAGCCAAAAATAACAAATTCCGGTAATTAGTGTATTATTTGGTTGCCTTTCCAATACACCAAAATTTGCATTTTTTGTATAATCGATAAAAATAATACTGAAAAGCACATTTCTAATAATTAGTTTTCAAAGTTTCCTAATTGAGGATCAATTAGTCCGAGAAGTACAAAAGTCAAGTAATGGCGTATTGTTGGTTGCCTATCCAACACTACAAAATTTTGGTGTTTTTTTATATAATTAATAAAAATAACTCAAAAAACACAATCCATCTAATAATCAGGCTTCAATTAAGCATAATTTAATCCAAAAATTACCAAATTTAGGTAGTTGATGTGTTGTTGGTTGCCTATCCAAATACCCCAAAATTTGCAATTTTTTGCATAATTGACAAAAATAAACATAGTTCGTCTGATAAAAAGTGTCAAAAATGTTAAACGTGTGACTTTGGGCATAAATCAGGCCGAAGATAACAAAATCCGGTAATTGGTGTATTGTTGGTTGCCTCACTAGCACACCAACATTTGCATTTATTTTGCATAATTGGTAAAAATAGCTTTAAAAAGCACAGTTCATCTGATAATGGAGGTCAAAGGTTAACTAATTGAAATTTTGCAGGACGTGTTTGACCCCATGACGCGCGAGGTTTCGCAAAATGAGACGATTTTCGTGAGGGTGAAACCCACAGGTGAGTGGTCATAGAAGAAAGTCGCTTCAAATACGAATAGAAAGTAAAACGATTAGAAAGTCAGTCTCACCGAATTTCATTCATTTTTTAACTTTCGCTATTATCACGCAAAAATTAAATAAAAATATTTTTTTAATATTTCATCCTTGGATACATAAACATGGGATTAAAACTTTTGATTCTCCGAATCAACTTTTGTTTGTTTAAAACGATGATTCACGTTGCAGAGTGATGAAATCCAATTTCCGCCTAGCTTTCTCAAATATTTAATCACATGTTTCGAATTTCTAATCTTCTTTCACAAAAAACTAGGAATATTTTTAAAAATTCCTTCAATTTGGGCCCGATTTCACCTCAACCTTGTCTGATTCGAAACTTTTACTTCCGCTTTTCTGGGTCAAGTTCAATGAAAACCGTTGACTCGTTTGGAATAAATAAAAATATTGGATTTGTTTCAGGTGTCGTCCTCCTCACAGCCACGCCCATTTTGGACAAACAAAAGTGAAAAAATTGTAACACAACAAACAAATAAATTTTTTTCATTGATAACAATTTTTTATCACTTTTGGAGGAACTTTATTATTATTGCGACTTTACAGTCTGTTCCAAATTGCTCAGAACATGCTGAAGTTTACAGTGTTGCCGGGTTTGATGAAATTTCAACACGCTTGCTGATTTAGTGTAAAAAAATAAATGTAGAAAATAGCCAATATTGTTTTTAGACCTTTTGCCCTCATTTTCACGTTTTTTAACCAGAAACTTGATTTTAAAAAAATCTAGAAAAAATTGTTCTGTTTTTTTTTATAAAACTTTACTAAACAGAGTAAAAAATGACTACTATTTCGTAAAATTTCGTTAAAAACAAGCCAAAAATCAAACAAAATAGACCAAAAATCAGTACTTAAACACGTTTTTGAGATAAACACAAAGAAATTGAAAAAATTTCGTTTAAATAGGCTTAAAAAGTACAAAATTAAATCCAAATTAATGTTATTTTTCAGCTTGTTTCACTCTTCCTTCGTTATTAAACCAGAGGTTCATTTATTTTGTCCAAAAACGCCTAAAAATTACAAAAGGAGTTGATATTAATATTATTTTGTTTGTTTCGTTCGATTTAACTGGTTTTTAAGCAAAATTAAGAAAAAAATAAGCAGAGAAAACGCAAAATTTCCCCAAAACAAGCCAAAAAATCAACAAATTAAGGTTATTTTTGCACTCTTCGAGCGATTTAACACGTTTTTAACGCAATTATTTCGCAAAATTTTGTTAAACACAAGTTGAAAAACCACAAAATTATGTAATTGAAAGCAGATTTTTAAGCTAAAAACTCCGTTTCTGCCATTCTGTGTCAAAAATCACCAACAACTTCAATCTGGGGAATTTTATTTCCGTGAGCTGGCAAGACTAATTCGTTTGTTGGCAACCAAAATCCCCGTCTCGAGTCTCCGCCCATTGTGAGCAATTCGAAACAGATAGTAGTGTGTGATGAAAAAAAAAATAGTAAAATAAAAATAAATAAATAATAGTAAAATAAATGTAGAAAGTAACAGATTACGA